GAGCGGGAAATGTTATTTAAGTGGATGCGTGATAATTATCAGCTGTTCTTAGCTGAAACGACGTCCATCATAACAATCATTAACATATCATTGAAGTGGATCTCGGGTTTCTTATCTTCAGGGAGTTATAAAAAGACACACTTCATCTTGCGAGAGGTCTGTGAACCCGTTCGTTCTGCCATAGCTCGATTACTCCGTCGTACAAACACTTTTTACAACCAGCCGATTCGTGACAGCGCTTCGCGAAACAGGATGACTTATTTACTCTGCCCATAATATGGGTCTGCAATACTTTAAAATCGTTCTGATCATGTCAGTGTACGAAATGGTTTGGTTCCTCAATTTCAAGCTAATACTTTAAAATCGCATTAACCACCGACTTTTAACATTCAGTAACGTTGCATTTTGTTCAAAGAGTGTGTTTAAGGGTTTCATATGATTCTCGAAATAGACCGACTATTTCCCTAAACAGAATTAACCAATTTATTAAAAGTATATATTAAAATTAGCCGTCAATCACAATATAATATGATTAAAAGATTAAAATATCATTTTACGTTCCCTATCGAGTACTCGATTTACATGTGGAACATACACGACATGTTTCGGCTGTATATAGCCATCATCAGGTGTTATGTATATAAACTATTCACTGAATTACTGATTTTTTACTGATTTATTAATGATTTTTAGTTTTCATTTTTTCTTATGATGTTCTTGTTCAGTGAATAGTTTATATACATAACACCTGATGATGGCTATATACAGCCGAAACATGTCGTGTATGTTCCACATGTAAATCGAGTACTCGATAGGGAACGTAAAATTATATTTTAATCTTTTAATCATATTATATTGTGATTGACGGCTAATTTTAATATATTTTTTTAATACTATTTAAATCACAATATGACGCATCTACAATATCTTAACCAATTTATATCTGTAATGAAGACCTGCATTTTGTTTGAGGTATGAAATAAATGTAATGTCTATCACTACAGTCCACTTCTCCCTTCATTCACGTGTTTATTTAACGACGCTTTCGGTAACTCAGATTATACCGCGTCGAATGAGTAGATGATTAGTAAATAATGAATTGGAAATGACATAGAAGGAAGGGGTATTACCCCACGAAAATCCTGTCAGAATAGCCGGTATTCGAGCCTAGATTTGAACCCGGGAAATCCCGAACGCGAGGGAGAACCACTCGACAAGTACATTCGGTTGTCTCTCTTCCAGTCTTCGAAGTCTTAAATTGTATTTTTAATGATTTCCACTACGCAGAACGATAATGTAGCAGCACAGACGAAGACCTTTCCACAGTCAAATCTTAAATGTTATAGGCAGCGACGGTTAATGTCAGAATTATAGCCTTCAGCTCATAAAATATTTACTTCATCATTATATTACGAGTTTTATATCCCAAGAAATGTTATAAATGGTATATCACGGTGGGAATGTTCATTAAGATACGGCGTGGTGTTCAAGGCCACGGTTATTCCGGTCGTCGGTTCCAATCCCGCCTACGATATAAACTTATGCGTATTTTTCATCAGCCGACAGTTGTCTATCTATTCATCGCGACACATCTGTACCCGTCTCTGCAATAAAAAAACTTTCATCTGAAGAATCCGAAGAACACAGGAGAATTACGCGGAATATCGATGTTAATAACCAATAATTATAGCATCAGCAACGTTTCAATTTATAATATAAATTATTATTATAGACGAAGAACCGCCAATATCCCAACTTTAGCCCTGAAGGTGGAGACAGTATATTTATCCGAAATGTTAACATCCACCTACGAGTCCACACGACGTCACAACCCAAAAGAACATCGACATATTCACCGCCGTGAGAACCTAAAATCTCCAAGGAGCTGGAACCGAATGTCCATTATCGTATTCACATGAGCCCACAAACTGGACCCCATCCGACTAATATTTTGTGTGCATTTTCATCTCCTCGCGCTTTCAATATGCCCCTCCCATCTTGCCACGGAAAATGTTACCTTTTAAAATTCCCAGGATTGAGCGTTCCACGGAAATCCAGGAAAAAACGGATTATCGTGCAATGTGAGCTCAGTATCACGTCATACAAGGTACAAGGGGGGGGGGGGGGCCCCTCGGCTCCAGATGAATTCTTCGGTTCTTTGCCCATATTCATACGAATACCGTTAGAATAAATAAAATAAGAACACAGATACGAATCATTAATAACTGTATGGTCTGACTGGACTATAGTAGACGCGTACTGTGTGAGAAACAATTTCATTACGATCCAATCCAAACTCTTCCGACTGAATGTAATGCCAATTCTAGAGCGAATTAAGGGTCTTACATTCTTATGGTAATTTAAACCGAAGTTTCGTTCAGATATGTGAACACAGACTCAATTCGAATCCAAACGCTTGAAAACTAAAAGTTTCTCGGAAAGATGCAAATAGGATTTCTAACTCCTATGAAGTTATGTCATTTTTATATTAGAGCGAGTTTCTTTTTTTACACAAAGTCGGGGTTTATTTCGAAACAAACTTCAATCCAATGTAAACAGGCTTAATAGTTTTAGAACTAATATAAAAGCAGATAGGAGTAAGAACAGATTTATTACTAGTGTACAGTGTTATTAGAATATGTATATATTTTACTTGTACGATGATTTTACTAAATAAAACAATGAATAATATATTATCTGCTTACCAAAACACTAAGTTATAAGGGTTTTAAAGACTCCAGTATTGGACAACTACTGGTTTAAACCCGAAGCTCGTCTAAATAACATTAAAGAACTCGGTCCGTACCGCATAGAAAACACAACACTTCACCATTGCAGAAACCAAGTGGTCAGTCGTGTCTAAGGAAATGATGGCTGTTTAATCTGAGAATCAAACTAAGCCCATAAATACAGCCTGTGGGCAAAAATGCGGAATTGTGAATTATTAAAGGAGGTGGAACACAACGTCGCCATTGGGCTTTTAAAGGTCAAGGAGCTGAATCCTACGTCAGAGGAGTGTTCCGGGTGAACAGACAGAACACTGAAATTATTTTCGTTCTAACACTGCACGCCGAATGGTTTTTCTCTGGTCTTTTAACAGCTTCTTGCTGTCATAGTGACAGGCTGAATCCGTACAAATTGCTACACGCTTTTCTCATTCTAGTTCATTTCTCGTTATGAATCAAAAAAAAAAAGCAGAATGCTCCGACGATGAGTAAGGAAATTGAAGTAAATGCACTTTTAGTCATTTGTCAAGACAGCAAGAACATATAACGGGAGCAACAAATAGTCTAGTAGACAGACAGCCAATATTTTATATCATTTTGTTTTATAGTCGTGCATTTTTCGGACCTACAACGGAGTTAAGAGAACACTTTAGTTATAAGAACAATGCGAAGTCATACTGGTAAGGTGTGACCGAGTATAATAATCAATTCATTAAAGTACTGACCAACTGAAATAGTGACTAGCTACGGGCTGGACGAACCCGCAGGGGGGCAGAGGATTTTCCCCCTAGCCTCTGCGTCCAGACCGGCTCTGGGGCCCACCCAGCCTCCTCTACAATGTGGGTACCGGGGTCCTTTCCCGGGGGTAAAGCCGGCCGGGGCGTGATGCTGACCACTCACCCCCATCTAGTGCCGAGGTCAAGGAAGAGAGGAGCTATACCTCCACTCCCCCCAAGCGCCTACATGGCGTATAGTGGGACAAACTTTACTTTACTTTTACTGACCAACTGAAATTCATGATTTTAAATAAACATTAATTATGCCAAGGTTAGTAAAGTAGTCATTAAATTATACAAAATTCGTTGAGGCCTCAAACCTCCTGTCTCAAGCTGAGCTCGCTGGAGGGCAGACAACAGCTACGGTGAGTTAATCGTACCAGTTCAAGGCCAAGTACATAGCCGGTGGTTGCCGCACATGGATACGTCGATGGACCAGTCTACAGGCAAGAGAGCACGCTGTCAAGAAGCGAATCCAGCTAAAACGTCCGCCACTTTTCGCGACAGGAGTTTGGCAAAATGTCTTTGCAGAGGCAATGATCCGCATTTTTAAAATACTTTTATTGTTTTATTTTTACTTAGAACCAGATGCTTAAAAATTCTTCCATATGCAGGAGATTCTTCACTTCCTAACTACCAGTTCTTTGGAAACCTAAGATGCCCTTCACATTGTGTTAACTTCCACTCCTTACATTCCTGCAACTTTAGTTACGCGACTGCGGTTCGGAAGTTTACCCAGTAGAGGAATTTCCTGAAATTGGTAACGGAATTAGCTAGTGTCTGTCCTGATTTGGATCTGAGAACTCGGGAGGGGTTGATGTCAAAACCTTTTACGGCGCACTAAAGAGCTGACACGAGACAAGTCTTAAATTGCTTGTCTTAAAAGAGCTGTCTCTCGTTACATAATAACATTTTAGTAAAGACTCACATTCATCGAAAGCAGATTTATGGCGTGAAGATGAACAGAATGACATTACGAAGGCAACAGAATCTCTCACACAGTAATCAATGCGCCTGAGAAAGCAAGCACGAGACGAAAAACCCAGCACTTTTCATACAATTATAAGTAGATATTCATCTTTAAAGAGTTGACCGAATCCAGCTGAAAAATTAACTCCAGCTGTCTATATTATTTAAATTGATTTCAGTCAAAAATTTGCTAAAATTATCCGTGACGGAAATCTATGGTCTTCACTGTTTACAGAAATTTATTATTTATTTTATTTAGTGTTCTGTGTGACGACAGGTCCATATGAACAGGATCCTTCCATCCTTTTCTCGGACTGGGACCTGTTCATATACGTTCTTGGCAGATGATCCAGAAGTGGTTTGCCATTGCCTTCTTCTATGTGTGAATGGAGTAATTGTTGGGATGCCACGGAGGAAAACTCCGTGTTTCCTAGACCACGGCCTTGCCCAACACAAGTTATAAATTCGGGCACCGCTGGGAATCGAACCCGAGACCCCAGGATTACAAGGCCAGCGTTCTAACTGCTAGACCACCGTTTACAGAAATTGTATAAAACTAAACTGGCCTGGTCATTTTTGAGTTTCCGTGATGACTGTTGTTAATATTGGCTTATTAATAATTCATATGCAGCCGAATGCTGAGAAGATGCATTTGTTGCTGCGGGAGACTCAAAGAAACAAACTCTGATATTGTAATTATCTTTTATACAATTCATCTTGTCAACGCGCATGCTAACGAAAAACGATTAAGCTGAGCGCCGTGATGGTGAGGCAACTTCTCTGCCAGTACTGCGTGACAGGTAGTCTGAACCCGGAACATTAGGCGTCCGATATATATCGATCTTTCTTTACCGTCATCCACTCGAATATTTCTCAAAGTTTTTTATCTTCAAAGAGTGCTGTGTGCAACACTAAATAGTAAAATATAATTCTCGGGCAATATGTGTAAATACGTATTTATGTGTGTAAATTAAGTAACCACAATCAGGACACTGTTTATGTCTAAATGTCACCTCGGGGCATTGAACGAGAGCGGTGAGTTCCACGCTCCAGAACCGTTCGGATTGCGAAGTGGGAACAAATTTTAATTCCGTTTTATGGATTTCAACTTCGGATGTCCAGATCTTCACTGCCTAAGCCACGAGTGTAATGGTTCACTCTCTACGTATTCCAGAGTCTAAGACATCTCAAACAAAACACATACTTCATTATACATAATGTTAATGGTAATTTTGCTGAATTATAATTACAGGGTAAAACCGAATTATTGAATTCATTGCCGGCAAAAAATATGTAACGAACAAATATTTTACGTTGTCCCAATTCAATCTGTCCCGCACATGATATAAATCTATTTTACAACTCGCAGGCGAAATAATTTTTAAATTTTGAATTAAAATAATTGCGGATATTACGATGGACTAAGAATAAATCAGTCCTTGGAAATGTAGCTTTCAGTGCGTCGGTTACTGTGCGTGTTCACTTCAATTACTAGTCTGTCTCTTATCAGAGGGAGAGCTTATTATTCTGAGTGCACCGGTCGTTATCAACTAATGTACCGCGTTGTGCTAGTGTCTAAGTCGCTCTTTACGTCGAGATTCGAACAAGGATCTTGAAATAAAAGTTGCATATTTATCGAAAACCTGCGCCAAATTTTTGTGCACTATTGTGGTGTTCGAGCTGATTCCATATCAGAAATTCGCACAGCCTTCACGTGGTATCGCACAATGAAATTAATATAAAATACACAGATGAGGTATTATCTATGCAACGGATTGATTTCCATATCACGTTTCAGTTCTCGATGTTTCGAAAGTTATTGGAAAAAGGAATAGAGGTTCACTGAACATTTACTATACCTTAGTAGGCCGAATTATTTCCAACAACTTGCATAGTAATATTTCATTTACATAGTCTGTCTTGTCCCATACATCATGTTAACACAGCTAAGAAAATGGTTGACTTACTGACAGAGTGACTCCAGAATAGCAGGAAATGTAAATAAACTCCCCTTCCTGTGTTACTCGTGAGACGTTCTCAGCACTAACTGCCAGTGGTCACGTGGTACTGTGTGCGCGTTCAGTATTTCTTAGTCTGTGTTAATCCTGCCTTCATATGACTAATGTTTCAAAGCAACTGTTTCCTTCGTTTAAGCAATGAACTAGAATATATATCCTTGTAAATGTTTCTGTATATAGTGCATAAAAAACAGATTTTGAAACACATACTTTGGAAACTGCTAATTAGAGGTTGAAAGTCTTGTTCTGTGATGTCACGGTGAACCTCACAACTGATACCGTGGATATCCGACATTGGTCGTATAGTACCCATGGCAGATACGAGAAATGACTAACAAATTTTGGTTTGAAGGAAGGGTGGATGTAGATGTGACGATAATATTACGATGGATCTTAAAGAACAACAAAAATTTTCATACCAGTAACTTCACAGTTTATTGTTTTTTAAGACTAAATAACATAAACCTGATGTTTACCACATGTAGTCAAAACGTGCCATAAATTAGATGAATTTAAGAGCACTTTTCAGGATTACTTCATGTAGTCCAAGTATGATGTGAATTAGATTTATTTTACATAAAACTATCAATAACTATTATAAAGTTAATTATATGAACATTTTTGTTGTTTGCTGACTGAAAGGGTAACCAGTAAATTCAGAATAAATTTGACTACCCAAAAAAATATTTAAGCTAATTATAGAAATGTAGTATTGTTTGAGGTCAATATGAATAGATGTTACTGACTTTCTGACACAATCCTGAATTTGTGTGAAGTCCTCATAAGTCTTTTAGAGAATTTCTGACAGTTAAAATAATTTATATTATTATTTTCAAAGCATTCTGATATCAAATGAAAGGAACACCAATTAACTTTCCACACATGATCTCTGTTGTGGCAGAATGAAGTGGGTGACAGCAATGGTGGTTGGGCTGGTGCTGGTAGCACTAGCCATGGCTGAAGGTGAGATTTGGGAGGAGGATGACCACGAGGTACTGATCCGTAGCGAGAGGGGAGCTAAGAACAGAGGTGAGTTATCACTGCAAGGGACTTATGTTGTACACACAACTGAAGAGCACAGTTCAAAAACTTCAGTGTACTAAATTCTGCTTTTGGAGTTGCTATTTTTCATACCCGATATCTGTAAGTGGTTGCATCTAACAGAGGAATTGGCAGCCCCATAATACAGGCTGTAGATTTACTTTTCCGATAAAATGAAGGTTAAATTTCATTTATTTAATTTTGAGGACCAAGACTTCTTCACATGTAAAATGGAAGGCATGAGGAAGTTTGTACAAAGTATATTGGACTGTTTACCGCAGTAAAACATTCCAAGTCTGACTCTTCATTAGTATCAATATAAAATTTATTCACCATTCAAGAACAGCTCTCACTAAATATAACCAGATTGATCTCCTCTAAATGTTGGGTGAAAGTCCAACATCTGTTGCAAACACTGCAAAAACAGAAACAAATCAAAATTCAAAAACATATCAGAAATGGTTCAGTGATTTGTACACTGCGTGTTTCTTTGAGAATAAATGTGATGTAAAAGGAAACTCTTGTCCAACTTTTTCTAAGAATCTTAAACAGCATTTCTGTAAACATCCCAAACTCACTGTTGTGATGACAAGTCACAATAAAAATAAAGACATTATTTTTTTTAATTTACAAGATGTTGCAGAAAAACACGTTAGTCTAAGAAAATAATTAAACATATTCAATTGAAATAAATGCTACAAAAGAACATAACAGATAAGAATAAATGAAGATATTTAAATACAGACCTATTAGTATCATCTATAGGAAGCAAGATGGCGGTGATGGTGATAATTTGAATATTAATGAAAATGATGAGGACTACAATTGTAACATTGAGCATAACAATGGTTTCTTTTATGACACACTAGAGAAACGCGCTCCTTCCGGAGCGCTGTCCCTATCTGATATTCTACTTCTTTACGTCGTAGTGAAGCTCGTCTCCTTCGGCCTTGTTGTGGAACACAACAATGCCGAGTAAACAAATATAAGATGACATTGTTGATGACGTAATTTATTGACGACGACGACAAATCACAAATTTTTATAGTAGAAGATACAGCAGCTCAGATAACAATGAATGACAGGATGGTTAGTTAATAAATATTTGAAAGGATATTGAAGGAAGTAGTTGTGGCCCAATTTGAGGCACTATCCCATCACTTGCCTGGAAGAACCAAAGAAATCCACAAAAAATCTCAGCCAGAATAGAAAATATGCTGACCATGATTTGAGCCCAGGACCTCCATAATATGAAGCTGGCATGCTAATTACTAAACCACAACATTCAGCGACAGTAACGAAGACTATAATGATGAACAGAACAGTGATTATGAGAATGATGAAGCTGATACCAGTAGAAGTGAACAGTTTGTAGCAAGCATTACTTTTTCCTCCAAAAATTAAGCATAAAACTAAAGATGAAATTGTTAGTTCATAATGAAGGAAGCAAGTGTTCCAGCCTCAGAACCATTGAATGGTTGTTTCAAGACCTCTTATGAGTTCTCTAGCATAATGCTAATGCACTTTTGTACAGGAAAAGCAACAGCTAATAGCTGCCCCTTTATATAACTACTTGCATACTTCTTAAGATGTACTACCAAGTACACTTTGCATTTGTAAGTTGCTTTTCATTTCATATACAAGTATTCCTCTGATAGTACCTTTGTACATAAAGCACTTTGCCCATTATTAACTCAGTCTACTTGGAAGGCTTGGTACTTGCACAACAGAAGTACAGAGCGTGAATTGAGCTAACCAGTTACCACGCAAAAGAACTGTATTTAATTCCCAGAGAAAGTTCACGTATCCCCCGCAGTATTCCGTATGCAAGAAAGATGCAGACAGTGGGGTAAGAAGAAGAAAAAGAAATTTTTCGCAAACAGTTTCTGTAAAAGAGAACCTGAGCCTAACTGCAAACATATTTTAAAGTTTATGACAAATGTGAAAGCTTCTTATTTCAAAATCCCAAACATAATGTTAGTGAATACCTAAAGAAATATTTTTCTAAATGATGTCGATGTAGTAAAAGTAGCACTAAATATTACTTCCATATTTCAATTTTTCCTACCCTCATTCTAGCAGCAATTACAAAAATTTGGATAAATGCTGAATTTTTTGCAATGGTGCGTTGGTTGAAAAGAGAAATATAATAGCATTTATTCCAAGAATTCAGTGAAAGGAGAAGACAAAGAGTTTTCTAATGAAAGGTAAAATATAAGCTGAAGAGGATTTCAGAAAATATTTTCCATATCAATATTTGGCAGATGACCTTTTTAAAAATGTTTTTATGTGGAACCACATTTAGTCTACATCTGTACATTTTAAAATTAGTATTCAAGTCTACAGTCAATCACTGTCTGTTTAGGCCATAGCTCATGCAAGAAATTCCTTCCCTTCTTGTATGTGTAATGTGCATTATTTTAACTTAGTCTCTTTAATCCTAAGATATAATTTGGTATTTTTTCTGTGACATTACTGACCATGTTTGTTACCATTTCAGACCCTTGTCGCTATGTGAAAGGATCATGGTCAGACTGTGATCCCAAGACAAATACAAGGTCTCGGATTCTCACTCTGAAGAAAGGGGATCAGAACGCCTGTGAGCAGACTAAAACTATCCAGAAGAAGTGCAAGAAAGGTAATGTTCCTATACTTATCTGTAATTGCTTCTCTCCTTCTGAATGTCTCTGTTTCAGCCTTATTTTGGGCATGTTTCTTACAAACAGATTATCTAAGACCTACTCGCATATGTTAATGACACATAAGTGAAGGATGTGTTATTGAGATCAAGAGATTGATGGCATATGAATGGTTGCAAGGACTCTATACACATGGCCACACCAAGAAAATGGACTATATTACTTATAACATAGTCTTTTAGCCTTCGTATGTTAAAAATTTACTTTTGAGCTCATTCATATGAACATCAACAAAATGTATCACTCATATGGGAATCTGTTTATGTTCATAATGTAACCCTAGACATACATCATCTATACACATTAAATGTAATTGTGATCCACTTGTGCGAGTGGCTGAGCAGGTCACATTGCATGGTATGCTGATGAAAAGCAACTGTTACTGCTACTTAGTGTTGGCTGCTATCACACATCCCAGGTGCATGGCTAAGTGATCCATGATATGCATGCACACAAAGCTTTACCTACTTTCTTCACAATTTTAATATTGTAAGTTGGCACAGGCATCCTTATGATACAGTGATGAAAAATGAAAATGAAGACCCTTTAATATGGCCAATTAATAGTCATGTGACAAAGTTAAGTGTGGACCTGCTCTGTGATCATATTACACACATAATTTGAAAACTGGGCAATTAAGAATGGCAGCATAGTTACTCTGAAACACCAACATATTATATCTTTTAAAGAGTAATTACTGATGCAACAGTATTATAATAGGACATATGTTAAATTATAATGAACTTTTCAAGTCTGTATCTCCTGAGACTGTCCTTGATTACTGACAGAACAGTAGGAGAAAGAAGATGGAAAAATTCTGATGCGCATTAACATTAACACAGGCGTGATCCCAAATGCCAATATAAAACATCAGGACTGTACATGATTAACCATTAAAAATAATGAAGTCTTTCTGAGTTAATAAGTACTGTAGATATCCATATCAAATGCTCTTCAGTCAATAAGAGTATAATAAACAGTTAATGGAAATTCAGAATAATGATCATGAAAAGTAATTCCTTGCAAATTCTTTAATCATTACGCAATGAGAACTTTAAAATTGTTAATGGTGTTCCAGCCTACCCAGTCCCCAAATTAGCATCAAGTTGTGATAATAGCATAAGACATACATTCACTATACTCCTCTATGCCTTGCAATCATAATCTATAACATTAAATTTCACACTTGATAAATAGTATAACCAATTAAATTTCCATCCATTCCACCATATATAAAGCCACTGACAGGTTAATTTGAACGTTCCTAATTGCCAGAGGGGTTTAAGTTAACAGACATTTATAGGGAGATGATATGAAATGACAATGATTGTGGCTGTTTGCCTGGAATTTGTTCCTGGCAGATAGAATCTTTGTTCGTGCTTTCGTCACTCACAGCTCACCCAGCTGTTGCTCTACTGCCATTAACAAGAAAATTACCCTCTTCCCTATTAGCTCTGTGCTACAGCAGCCTTGCTTTGCATTGCCATAGCAGCACAAGACAGTTGGTAGGCCAACACATAAAATGCTCTAGTACATGTGGAACTAGAAACTCATTTGGGAGAAACTTCTCAAGATAGACTAGCACACTCCTCATAAACAAACTACCTGTTAATAGGAAAATTGGCCTGTAATTTTGAAGATGAACACAAGATTATGTTACAAGATTTTAGTCATGTTCCTTGAAGGACAATGGAAAGAAGTTGTCAGCTGTATTAACGAAGTATTATAGCATGTTCCTTGTTCATGAATAACAGAAGAAAAGGTGTTAGAAGTAGGTTAAAGTCTGCTTTGGGTAATTATATCTTGTTTCGAAAAGGCAAAATCTTGGTGTCAGATATTACGTTAAATTCCTATAAGATTAAGTAAAACTGAGTCATTATTCTTTAACCATCCAGTCATTTGACACTATATATACAGTCTGAGCTACTGACATCATCATTAAATAAACCAGAAACAAATAACTTATCAATAAAACATTTGGATTTAATAAATACTTTCCATAAAACTGTGAAGTTGCCAAATACTGTATCTAGTAAAATGTCAAGAACTTTGTTCTTTTCCAAATAAAGTAGATAAATAACCCAAACATGTATAAAACAGTTGAGAAACAGTTGCGCTTTCTGAGTGTGGTCCAGAGATCTCATGAAAATTGTGATATTTCATTTTGCCCATACACACTTTTAAAAAGACATGATGAAAATCTGTTTGTGATATATCTGCTACAGTATATTCATTAAAATAACCCACATTCATAAAATATTTAGTGCCTCTCTCATGTAAGTGTTTGCTATGGTAAGTATGTGCTCCTTCTAAAAAATACAAACAGTTATAATCCTATTCATTATTTAAATGCAATTAATTCTGATACATTGAGCTTGGCAGGAGGTATTTAATCTTCCTATATTGTGTACTGTTTTAGGCATGGTAAAGCGTTACCTTAAATTTCTTGTCATGCATAAATTTATACAACACAAAACTGCCTTAGAAATTAATGTAATCCTAAGATGGATTTCCAAATGTTCTGGCTTTATTACAAAATATCAGCAGTCATAATATGGAATTTGTCTTCTTTATATTCTGTCCACCTTCTTTCTCTTAATTATTCTTCTATCCAAGAATGTTTGAGGTTCCATTCATCACTCTAATGTTGTTAATTTGATAAGTTGTTTTTTGCTAAAATATATTTGGGGAATTAACACATTAAGACAACCACTTAGACCCACTTTCATAGTCATAAAGATAATGCAACACAAAAGTCCACTTGAGTTTATATGTAACTTAGAGATTATTTCATCAGACACATGGATTCGTTCAGCAGAAGGGAGTGGCAGCCTGGTTATGAGATTGGGCATGTAATAATGAATGCCCATTTTGCCCGCAGCATGCCGATATGAGAAGGGGGTGTGGAGTGAGTGCTCATCACAAAACCAAATGACACGGAGTGACAACTTAAAGGCTAACAGCGACCCCTCATGTGAACAGAGTCGACAGATCACTAAGAAGTGTAAAAATAAGGGAGCTAAGAACAACAAAGGTAACATCCACCCAGTACCCTCCAAGGAGATAGTTACACATAGGTCTCATGTGTCATAAGGGTTTCACTAAAAATAAAAAAGGGAAGCTGCATGTTCTTAAGGCACTGTCATCTTGTCCTGAAGTTTGTTAATTTAAGCATGACTGATGCATGCACCACCAGGCCTGAATGTTTCCCTGTCATATTGCTACTGGTAAGTACAAATTATGTATAATCACATTGAGTTAGGTGTAGCTAACTGTTGGCACACTAGATGTTATATGTGGAATAAGACAATTTTACACAATCTTCTCAGGCAATCAGCAGTGTTGATACAAAATAAAACTCTGTAAAATCAGAGACAGTCTTTTTCTCTATAATCAAGAAATAAGGGATACAAATCGTTATATACAAACAAAATACTTGAAATTGGTTTTGGCAGCTGGAGTTCAGTGAATAACTTGGTTTAGAAGACCTTAAAGGATCTCACAGTGGGAACATCCAAAGGTTTCCTGTTTGCCCAATCATCTCCCACTCCCAGGTATTTAAAATCCTCCCTAATTCCCAACATTCACTCTAAATATGACAACTGCAGTGTTTGCCAAAATGTTGAAAAAACTTTAACTGACATGGTATATCCCACAGACCAAATTGAACCAAGCCCTTGTTGGTTAAGAACTAGCTAAATGGAGAGCAGTAACAATCTGTTAAAGTCGAGAGATTTATTCCATACTGATGCAGCAGTTCACCCGAGAAAACTGCATTGCATTTATCTCTCAGAAAAACTTCATATTGTGTGTATCCGTGTGCACGCGCACATGCTTGTGTGTGATTCTACAAACTTAAATTCAAGTGTGTGAAATTTCATCACCATTGTCATCATCATTACCACTGCAGTGATCATAATTATGCTGAAAACCTATTATATCCCTATCATAAATCTCATTTTTCAAAGTTAAAATCAGCTGGCCCTTCCCAGGTACATAACTCTTATCAACAGTTTATTGCCAGATACTTACTGTGCTAGCCTAAATCATAGCACTAATTGTTATACTGGTGTTGTTCCATTTATATATGGCAGTCCATTAAAACCATTATCATACAGAATAGATTGTTAAAACCCTCATACTGTGAGGCTGCCGGCCAGACTTTAACTCTGGGGTTTCATAGTTTAGCAGTATACTACTGCGATGCACAGCCAGCTGGAATACATGTATGCCTGGACACACTGCCATTGGACCTTTCAATGTCATATTATAGTTAAATTTAGTATTTAAATAGAAGTCGCAGTGTCTTAACTTTTCTATTCCTCAGGTGGACGACGCAACCGAGAGTAATCCAGACGAGTAAGGGTCCAGAACCATGTTAACATTATTCAAGCTTATTGCAAGAGTAAACATTTCATCATACTTCCAAGTACAGATTTTACAATTCTCATCAGCATGCAAGCAGCCAATCAGTGCAGTGACGCTACAGACATGAAGCCAGGAGAGAATATTTCCGACAGTAAGAATATGGAAAATTCATGAAATGTTAGGAACCTGATTTGTTCACCACACTTTTAATATAAAACCATTTCCTATAGTCACTAGGACTTTTGGAAAATGTTTGTATGTTCATCACCTTTATATTCTACTCCAGCTGTTGAAAATACATATGTGGGACAGGACCCAGAAAATGGACTAACTTAATTACCAGTATCATGAGTTTAGCAAGTGTTGTGAAACAGTCAGCAGAGATCCAGCCCATTTGAGTTCCACCTTGCACCAAGTCACATACCATTTGTGTGTAGATTGGTCTAGAGAAGGAATTTTGAATGTTTACAGAATGTGTGCATTTATCTTACTGTATTAGGAATACTACATTGAAGCAGTCTGCTGTGGTTTTTTAACTTGTAATATACATACCAGTCATCCACAACAATGATGATTGTTAACCCTTCAACCATGACCTAACCCTACCAACCACTGCATCCACAAGAAGACTTTTTTCATGCTGCTGTTTCTCGAGTACATGGTTTAAAGAACTTACGATGTCATGCATGCTGTGGGATGTATGGTTTGGTGGGTGACCTAAAATATCACACATACTTAAGATGTTGATAAACCAAACACTATTCATTATTTGTTGATAATATACAGGCTACCCATTTTTAATCATACCCAAAGTTTATTAAAATAATACACAACTTTATTACACTAATTAGAAGATGTATATTATTATAATAAAAGTCATGTTGTACATATAAAGTAGAAGACAATTTATAAATAAGTCTGTCACTGAGTGAAACAATTAAATGTATCATAAAATATTAATTTCTTTTATTTAAAAATGTTATGAGCATATACAATTTAAGGATAGTCATAATGTAAGGTTGGTTTTAGTATCTTCAGTGATATAGGTTTTATCCCATGATGCATAGGAATTTTGAAAATGTTGGACTATCCACATGAATATGGAGGCCAGACAGACAGGTCATACTTTTCACACTAGGAATAAAGAACACATCCACACTATACAAAATAATGAAAGTAACTCACACGAGGCACAGCATATTCTGGACAGGTAGCTTAGTCAGTATAGTGACAGACTACAGACTTGATGACCAGGGTTCGATCATTAGCAGGGGCAGAAGATATTTCCTCTAACCTCTGTGTCCAGACTGACTCTGGGGCCCACCCAGCCTCCTATCCAATGGGTACCAGGGTCCTTTCTTAGGGATAAAGCACAGCTGGGGTGTGACACTGACCATATGTCACCCTATATCTGGCTGGATGATCGTTCACCTCTGCTTATGCATGTGAACGTGAGGCCAGCAGCCAGCTAGTCGGCTTTGGCTCTCAGAGGGCTGTTACGCCACGGGAAAAATAACAAAAAACTGACATCACATAAGGAGGAAAAAAGCAAGATAAACACAAATACCTCAAAAGATTTTTAAAATACCACACTTATTTAGCTAGTAACCAAAGTTACATATAAATGACATGCACAGTGAAAATCATAAACCCATCTTTGAGACACTAAACCAACTATAAACAAGACAGCAATACATAGTCCACTTTATGACCTATATACACTACTTAACCTGTAGTGCACATAAATAGTCTTTATGGCTATAAACACCAGGTACTTTCACAGTCTGTACAACCAAGAATAATATTACTATATAGGATAATTCAAAGCTCTAGCACAATACTTATTGATGTTGTTGAGATTATTTGGAGAAGAAAATATAAATATCTTTGTTCAGATTTGCCACCATTTCCATGTCATACCATTTTTATGTTGATGTCACTCATTTTCTTTGTGGATTCGACAGCGGTTTCACACAAAGAATTTGTGGAAGTGCAGTCGATATTGCTGTGAGGCACATGTTCAGGTGGTGGGAGGGCATTGCAAACATCTGTTGTCGTTGTGATTTTATCCTGTGTATTACATTAAATGCACTGGCAAATCCCAACTGCACACACAGAGAAGTACTTAAAAAGAAGTACTATGAAGTGACAACTGAAAAATGAAAGAAAGGGTAGAATTTCTATCTCTGAAGATACATAATCATGATGAGTTCAACCTACAACACTGAAGATATAACAACCACACACAAGAATTATTCTAAACATTGTGTGTGCATGTGTGAGTATATCTAAATTCTAACAGGATCTTTAGATGTATTAAGATTAATATTCATATGATAAATTTTATTGCATTTTACTCTATAAGAACCTTATTTACAAATTATGTTCTATATAGTACCTATGATAAAACTTTATCAGAATAATATTCATTTGATAATAAGTATAATAAATCTTCATCTTGAACACTGTATAAAACAAAATCCTGATTTTAACAAATGTTGAAACATGTAGCCTGCATGTAAAGCACACATTTGTTTGGTTTGTTAATAATAACTGTTGTATGTTGTGAGTGACTGGTGTTTGCATACTACAACTTATTGTTTTAATAATTTGCAAATGTGTAAAGTGTTTTTAAAAATACGACTTACAAAGAATCCTATTAGATAAAAATTCAGTAGCTCTTCTTAATCCCAAGTTTTAATTTGCCATATTTTTAAGTGCTATCAAGTAAATGTTTGCTGTGTATCTGTGGAACTTTTAACAATTTTAAGGAGTAAAAAAATCCATCAAAAGGTCATCACTATTTTGTAGTTAAATTGTGTCTCCCCTCCCCCTCCCCCAAGATTCATGTTGTAATATGTAATATGCCTGGTAGAATATCCTGGCTAGAAATCCATACGTAGCATAGTATTCTGTGCTGCAGCGCTATCCTGTAAAATGGATTACACTAACACAGGAGCAGAAATATGAATCTGGGGATTTAACATTTCACTGTGGATACAGAGCAAGAATAAAATCTTTAAAATGATATTGCACTGTGAGGACATCACATTGAAATGTCTCAGTTTCTGTACTTCTCATGCACTGCGGCACATGTAACACTCTACAGTGTATTATCATAATCATATAGGGGGTCAAATATGGAGTACAAAGTGTTTTGAAGGATTGTAATTGTAACAAAAAATACAGTAAAATAAAGATGCCCTTTTAAAGCTGGTTACAGGATTTTATTACTATTATTATTCCAATACAATTCCATGAAACACAGTGCTTCTTGAGAAGCTGACAGTCACTCAGTTTTTCAAGAAATTTCCCACATTTTATAAAACCTGGAGGTTCCTTTCCATGCCACTGGACCCTATCGTAAACCAGAAGAACACTGTCTGCACCCTTACAATCCATTTTCATAAGCTATTTGTAATGAGTACAAATATGCAGGTTATCAGACTTATCAACATACAATATCTCATACCTTTTAAGTTTGTATTATATATTGCCAGCAATCTTATATAATTAAAGAAGATTGTTTGGGTTTTAAATGATATGCTTTAGATGTTGTATTTAAGATATGTTTAATATTTCAACACTGCAACTAGTTACATTACAGATCTTGCTTACAGAGAGCAAACATAATGAATGGACATGTGACAGTTACCACAATTTTATAAACATTAATGTTCATCTTTATGCCAACAGATGCAGGGCTCAAAGAACTTTAAAGGTTTTGGAATATACTTAGTGACACCAATTTAACCTGTACATTTTCGTACAAAAACTACAGTGTTAATTAAATGTCAATATGAGTCACTTTAGTTTTTACAAAAGTTTCATTCACTTTTAAGTGTTTTAAAAACTACTCTTTAGGGCTAAAAGCAGCTCATGACAGTATGACTTACATCCTTTGACAAACTTTCATTAAACTTAATATATGGCATTTCTGTTATATGTGAGTTTAATGCACTTTAAATCATAGAAAGAAAGAAATATGTGATGCACTGTGGTCAAAATCATAATAATCAAAATGTATGGACTTGATACCAACCACTGCCACTAGTCTAAAATAAAAAGAAATCAATAGATTCATCATAAAAAAACAAAGTTCTGGTATCTGTATTTTCTCAATTTGATGGCTTGCCCCACACCCTGCTTCTTATGGTCTAAGGTATGGATCTACATCTATCTAGTGTAAATCAAATGTACTCAAACAGTGGATAATGCAGAATATAATAATGCCAGTAACTATAATGAATCAACCATTGTCACACCCCTTTAGAGAGTAATTATGATTATCATGAATAATGAATTTGAAAAATGTGTGGAAAGAGAAGACTACAGCCTATTTTAGGTACCTTCTTAGCATCCTAACAGTTTGAAGAAAACCACAAAAACCTTGTTCAGAATAGCATGGAAATGAGCTGAGATTTGAATCTGCAATCTGCAAAATATGAAGCAGAATGCCTACTCATTACACCATGGTATTTGTTCCAATTACAGTCTCTTCAGCTTTCTGGTGTCTGTTCACCTGGAGGAATTAGTGGAAAATTAACATTTGTAGTGGGAAAGTTCATAAGGTGCAGCTCAGTTTCTTCCTATTACAATAAAGATGACATTCAATTTAATATGTAACTTTCCAGCATGAGAATCTTGTACTTAACCCATATTTTGCACTTATCTAAAATTACAAAGAGATAAGTAGATAATCAGAACTGACTTACATTTGACTGAAACCTACAGAATACAAGAAATCCTGGCTGAGATGGCTGCATTATGGTGTATGTCTGTGCTGCTTGGAGCCATTGTTGCCTCACATTATGAATCTGTAGAAGCCAGCATCTTAAGATATAATCCAACATGGGAGAGTCTGGACTCCAGGCCTTTACCTCAGTGGTATGACGATGCAAAGTTTGGAATCTTCATACATTGGGGAGTCTTCTCTGTGCCAAGCTTTGGTTCTGAGTGGTTCTGGAACAGCTGGAAAGGTAATACTGAAAGTTGAACACTAAGTGCATTTAATAAAAAGAATTAATAAGCATTTCTATACATATCTTAACAAACTACATGAATTCAGTTCTTGATTTTAAATAAAATCATATGCAATAACATTTGATGATACAGACTAATGGTTTTTGAACTGTACTTAGCTGTGCCCACTTCCTTCAACCTGCTCTGTTATAATTAGTGGACATCACTCCTGAAGGTAAACTTCTGGAAGTTGAAACATGCTAGGCTATCGGTAAATTTTAAATTCACTTCTTGCTGTAATTCAATGCTTAGTTGATACATATATGTTACAATGGCTTGCAAACTATTATAAAATATATTTTTAAACTTTAGTTTCAGCAGAGTGGTAATATACAAATTAAATACAAGACTTTGAGAAAGTTGTATGTTCACAGAACACAAGCTATTCTCAAAATCCATGGCATGATTTTAATTACAACTTAGGGTCAGTGAAAGGATAATGCTGATAAGACAACCCAGTACTTTGACCTTTGTTATCTAAACTACACACCAAACTATCTGTTTGGGGATTGTGGCAGAAGTCATATATAACTAAGAATGAGTTCAGCATGGTTGTGGCTGTCAGTTACTGAACTTCTACTGCTGGCTGTATCTTCAAAGAATTCCATTAGAAATGAAATTTTTACAGTAACCAACTTACAAAATGTACAAACTAATATTACAAAATACACTCCTACATGGGACAGTCTTGATTCCAGACCTCTGCCTCAGTGGTATGATGAAGCTAAAATTGGAATATTCATCCACTGGGGTGTATTTTCAGTGCCAAGTTTTGGTTCTGAATGGTTCTGGAAGGAGTGGAAAGGTAGTAACTGATATTATATTGAATTGTTATTATTATTATTATTTACACTTACTTTGACCACAAATAGTATTGTGCCACTTAAGCATGAAGAACCAGGACATTTTTATATTCTCTTCTTAAAGAAGATAAGTTTACAGATTTTGAACTGTTAGTGTATATCAGTCATGGAAGCGCCTTTTATATTACTACACTAATACAACAGGATTTAGTTAAGCTCTGTATGCTGCAAGGTTACTTTTATGGTCATCTAAGGTACT